CGTAATAACCTTATTATTATACATCTTTTCCCTTCAAGGATACATCATGGAAATGCCGAAATCCAAAAAGTTTAGAACAGGATCAGCGAACTTCTTTGTCGGTCAAATCCTGGTGGCAGCCATGTTTGTTTTTATTATTAGAGGACGCTTATGCGCGTAATCATTCCATATTTGTAATTCGCATTTCCAAATATGGTAGTATGAAAATACCCCGTAAAATACCGCAAAATTATGGCACGCTGTAACTTATGGCGTTACGGTGACAGATGTATAATAATAATGTGTACTGTAATTTTCAGAAATTTTGTAAGGCAGTAATGGGTACTTGAATAAGAATTCATTTTCAAGGAAAAAAAAGTAAAATCACACCACTGTGTTTTTATTCAGATGTCAAAATAAAACTAATTACCTGGTTGTTCTGTAGGACAACTGCTATAAAAAACTGATGTTTCTATGAAAATGTAGTAATAATAAAATTGTGTTTTCAGGGATCGAAATACCCTGGTGCACACTGCACTCTGCACATAGATTATTAGCTCATGCAAGTAAACTCAAAATATAATGTGCACGCTGTGCATGTAGAAATTAACACAACATTTTCTCATTATATTCACTAAGCTTTAATTAAGTTCAACCAAGATTGTGAGACAACTAAAAAAAATCAAATTCTTTCATGATTGCATCAATCGAGAACCTATAAATTTTATTAAAACTTTAAAAATGGTGCATTTCACAACAAGTTAGTGCAGGTAAATTTCAAATTCAACATGCACACTATGCATGCAGAGAAAAAATTCTATTTCAATCCCTGGTTTTCAAACTCTTTTAACATCAAGGTCAACTTTTATTTATCGATTAATTATCGGTCATAGGCAAAAAAATATACATCACATTTTTCAAAATATGTAGTGTTGTTGAATAAAGCTAAATAAAATTGAAATTAGACCAAATAAAATTAAATAGTGTGTTTCTGGTATGTTGAAAACAAAAGTAAGGCAGGTAGATAGGAATAACTTTTTATTTAAATAAAAATTAATTTTTTATTCTCAATTTATTATTATTACACAGTGCTGCTTGGTCCCATACTGTTAGATAAATATTTGTCTTCAATTAGGCGCCACTTTATTGCACTTTCATTTCATGGTAGCGCTTATTTGTGGTTAAATTTGAGCAACTTTGTTTCAAATATTTCAAGCACATCAAGTTTTAGTATTGGTAACTGTGTTTCAAGCCCATTGTTCTTGCTCCATTCTGGTGATATATTATTGGCAATATTTTACATTACAGTGCTGACAGCTTAGTCACTGTAGCCTTTCATTTTAAGTACTGAGTAAATGATCCGTTTTCAGACAGTCTAGAAAGTTATACAAAAATTATCATCTCTTAGAATACATTCACAGTTTGCCGTACGATCAACAGAAAAATAAAACAAACACAAATGCATCGCTTAGTAGTAAATGATCACGGTAGCGAAATCTGGTCATGCTGCATTCCACAGTTACGATTATTACTCAGTCGTAATTATAACGTACAAAAAATAAAATGCAAGTAAAATTCAACTTAATTTCATCGTAAGCGAATGATTCTGGTCGTATGTAAATGCTTGATGCGATACGATGTCCGCCATGCTTTCTGTTTAGGACTTGACCTGAAACATGTTCTTTGACCTGATAGGTCAAGTCTTTAATTAACCAATCAAAATGCTGGATGATGCCAACGTGATCAAATTATCATAATTCATTTAAATAATGTATGAACGCAACACAGAAGAGATTTGCTGATGTTTGCGATCTTTTTACTTTGATTTTGGTGGGCAACGGCATGATTTTTTTTTTCAAATCAAGAACTTATTTTTGGAAAGTAAACTGAGCATTTAAAGAATAATTTAACACTGTTTACTGTGATAACAGCGCATTTGAAACAGAACATTTTTGTGTTTATGGACTTATGGACCACGCGAATATTGTCTACAGTAGACCAAAGAGACATGTTTCAAGAGATTATAGACAGATTTCTCATAATTTGTTAGAAACAAAACCAATTTTTTTTACATAAATGCCCATCGTACTTCAACAGTGAGGGACTTCACGATCGTGTCTATCGCTACTAGCCGGAAATGGTAGTTGATTCGCCGGCGCCCAATTCAC